TCCCTCCATTAGTAAAAGCCTATCTGAATATCCCTTGATGCTAAGACTTTCCCACATGTTCAATGGGAGTAATATTCCTGCCTTGACTCCTTAAAAGGATCCAGTGTGGTGACAGCTGGAATGAACGCCTTTAATAAACGATTATCAGTAAAGTATTCAAGAGGAAGCCTAAGCAAGGGCCTGCATATTGCCCACCTCACCGCCTCTTCAGGCCTCAAAAACACAATCTCAACGACCAGGCCCCACTAACGCCCGAGCCCCGCCCCTCGGGACGCGCTCCAACCGCCAAGCCCCGCCTGACGAGACACTCCAACAGCCAGACCCCGCCCCTCAGGGCGCTCCAACGGCCAGGCCCCGCCCCTCAAGATGTTTTTAACAGCCCCGCCCCGCCCCGCGTGCGTGCGCGGCTCCGCGGAGACGTGCAGGCGCCCGCGTAGCCGGAGGCTGAGGTGGCAGCAGCCCGGCCAACATGGAACTACCGCAGATGCCGGAGCTTATGGGGCTGTCGCTGTTGCTCGGGCTTCTGGCCTTGATGGCGACGGCGGCGGTAGCGCGGGGGTGGCTGCGAGCGGAAGAAGAGATCTGCAGCCGGTCCGCCGGTTGGTGGGGCTGGGGCGGGTGGGAGCGACCCACGGGTACCTTGCTCCCGGCCTCCCCGTGGTCCTACCTGCTGTCTGGGCCCGTGGGGATGCCGGGGTCCCCCTGGGCCTCAGTTTCTCCTCTTGTGGAATGACCTTCGTTTCCCGACAAGAGGTGCAGCGTCGTCCAGCTGGTCGCACGTCTTAGGGAGGACTAATTAGAACCTGGGTCCCGCGCTGCCACTTTCTCGGTGGCCGAGGCCAAGCCACTTTCCCTTCTGAGCCTCAGCTTCATCCCGGGTTACTGCGACAGCGCTTCTAAACTCCCAAGCGCGCTACTTGTTGGTTATTTTATGAAAATGGGCGGGGAGGTGGGAGACCGATGGACTAGTTACTCGGTTTATTGAGTACCCACTACCTCCATAGGCTTTTGGGTCTTTTGCTTTAGGTAGTCCACTACCGGGTAATGGAGAGGAACATCTAAACATGTAAGTGAAAAATATAGTGTAATAGGTATCCTAGAAGAGGTTAGTACTAGAAACAGGAAATCCAAGGGTGGGAGTGGTCAGCCCCGCTTTTTGGGTGTATGTGAGCGTGTCAAGAAAATCTTCACCAAGAGTAGGGGACACATAAGGTGTGGACTTGAAGGATAGATGTGTATGACTCTTTTGTGAGGGGAGAGCCCTGGTAGGCAATGCTGGAGAAATAAGTAGAGGGCAGATTGTGGCCATCTTTGTTTGTGGGCCTCAGGAGGTTCTTTTCTTATAAGAATTGAGGAGTATCTGCAGTGATCTAACACATGCCAGCTCTGCACCTGGCCTGATTCTCAACTTAACTATTTTATGCAAAAGTGACTGGCACCATTTTTGGTACAGGATATCTCAACAGTGTTGACTGCCTTGAATCCCTCAGTTCTCTATGGGAGTTTTTTGAGCATTTACTGCTTGTTATTTTCTGTGTATTATCCAATTCTCACAACTTCTGTTTAAGGAAACCAAGGTCCAAAGCAATTGAGTAACTTACCCAAGGCCAGGGCTACCAGATTCAGTTGTGCACGTTATTCCTTATGTAGGGACGTCTGTCTGGCCAACGATCTGCACTCCATTGGGCATGTTGTGTACCTACTGAGCTGTGCCAGCCCAGAGAAGGCACCTTTTCTAATTTGCATTGAGCTGCTATATGGACTCACAGTATGCAGCCTCCTCAAAATCACAATCTAAACCCAGGTCTGATTCCAAAGCCCCTGTTTGTGCCTACATCACTCTCTCTTCTTGAGGACAAGAGCCATATATGGTCATATTTTGCTGCTCCTCTCAGTACCTGGCCAATCACAGGTGGTCAGTAAATGCTTATTGAGTGAGTAATGGATGGATGACATGGCCCTTCCTTATAGGCCAAAAAGCAAATGGATTTCCACTTGACAAGTCCTTGAAGTCCAAGAAGCAGAAACAGCAGCAGCGAATTCGCAAGGAGAAGCCTCAACAGCACAACTTCACTCACCGCCTCCTGGCTGCAGCACTAAAGGTACATGGGTGCCATGCACAACACACCCACAAACACGCCACCACACACTTTTCCTTTGTAGTGTTCTGTGAATGTTATAGACCCCGCTGCCTCTGACTAAAATCAGTCTGGATGCCTCATCCTATTCTTTCTCATCACATCCCATCAGCATCTTACTGTTAATCCAGGAAACAGGGTCCTGGAGTTATGGCTGCACATTGGGATTCCCATCTGCCCAAGAGGTTCCTGTTTATACTTCCTACAACCCTTCCTCTAGAGCCACAGTGGGGACATATCTTGCATGGACTTCAGCAGCAACGGCAAGTACCTGGCCACCTGTGCAGATGATCGCACCATCCGCATCTGGAGCACCAAAGACTTCCTGCAACGAGAGCACCGTAGCATGAGAGCCAATGTAGAGCTGGACCATGCCACCCTGGTGCGCTTCAGCCCTGACTGCAGGTGGGACAGGATGGAGCCTCAGATTTGCCTGCAGAAGCCCAGCCCCAGGCTTATGGCCTTTCTGTACCTGTTTGAAATAGTGAGGGGGGACCTAAGGTCTCCCTTGGGGTAGTAGAAAGAGCATCCAGGCAGCCTGAGCACTGCTTGGGGCTCCCTAGAGTGCTATGCAGCTATATAGCAAGGAAGCAGAGAGGGAAGATCTGTTCCAACTTGAGAAATACCAAAGTCTGGCTTCCAGATTAGTCTTGGAAGCTATAATGATTTTCTAAGCCATAGAGAAAGTAAAGAAGCCAAAGCTATGAGAGCCCTATCTTCTGAGGAGTTTTAAGAGATTTTTGAACCAAGAGGTTAAATTGTAAGGCTGGACTGTAGGGCATGAGGGGCGATCTTGATTTTCCTCAGAATCTAACATAGGACCTGGCATATATAGGCTTCCATGTCCAAAAGAGTGAGTGAATTACTTGTCTGCTACCTGTCTTTAGAGCCTTCATTGTCTGGCTTGCCAGTGGAGACACCCTCCGTGTCTTCAAGATGACCAAGCGAGAGGATGGGGGCTATACCTTCACAGCCACCCCGGAGGACTTTCCTAAAAAGCATAAGGCACCCGTCATCAACATTGGCATTGCAGACACAGGTAAGAGGCAGAGGGGTGGAGTTTGCCCAAGGCAAGAAGCAATGGCCCCAGTTATATGTACTGAATGAGTTAAAGCTGCCACTCTCAGCATTATGCTAAGCCCCAGCATGATAAAGGGGCTCTGGCTCTGTGTTCTGCTGGAGTCTAGGATTTGTAGCGAATCCCCAAGGAAGGCAGGTAAGAGCCACAGTCTTCAGCAAAGTCCTTATCTACAGTGTCCCTTGGCCTGGGAGGGCAGCATGGATCCTTTGGGCAGTAGAGGCCTTCAGAAGTGTATCCTTGGAGATTGACAGTGGTAATCGATCTCAGCTTATGTCACTTCCTTCAGGAAAATTCATCATGACTGCTTCCAATGACACAACTATCCTCATCTGGAATCTGAAAGGTCAGGTGTTGTCTACCATTAACACCAACCAGATGAACAATATACATGCTGCTATATCCCCTTGTAGCAGGTGAGGAAGGAGGGACTTTGGCATCTGGGGTGGGCAGAGGCTGGGGCTGGGGGCCAGGGACAGAGCAGTGAGCCAGCTACAAATAGTGGAAAGAGCAAACGTTGTGGAATCAGAACACCTAGATTCAAGTCCTTAGTCTCTATTTCTTCATCTGCAGTTTTAAATATTGAGGTGGGGTACTACATATCTTATAGCATGGCTGTGAAGGTGAACTGAGATCATGTGTAAAACCACTTATAAAAGTATGTTATTTAGATATGATTAACTTTCTCAAGGAAGAGGCTTAGTGGGTTTGTAGAAACAAGACACCCTTAAAATTAAGTTTTTAAGGAACTCGGGTTCTATGGCAGGTTTGTGGCCTCATGTGGCTTCACCCCCGATGTCAAAGTTTGGGAAGTCTGCTTCGGGAAAAAAGGTGACTTCCAGGAGGTTGTACGAGCTTTTGAACTGAAGGGCCACTCCGCAGCTGTCCACTTCTTTGCTTTCTCCAATGACTCCCGGAGGTGAGTGAATCTCCTCTGATTTCTTACCAGTGGCTCTCAGCCCCTCTTGGCAACCAGGGTCTTTCTGCCTATCTCTGCAGCAGCTCTGAAGCAGGTGGGATGCTTGACCCTAAGTGGAGTTGGCCTCCTAACTGGAAATCTTAGTGTTGTTCCAGGTGTCCTCCCCTTCAGGGTATGTTAGGGCTAGAGCTGTGATTTTTCCATGCTGCAGGATGGCCTCTGTCTCCAAGGATGGTACATGGAAACTGTGGGACACAGATGTGGAATACAAGAAGCAGCAGGACCCCTACTTGCTGAGGACAGGCCGCTTTGAAGAGGCTAGCACCATGCCGTGCCGCCTGGCACTCTCCCCTGATGCCCAGGTCTTGGCCTTGGCTAGTGGCAGCAGTATTCATCTCTACAATACCCGGCGGGGTGAGAAAGAGGAGTGCTTTGAGCAGGTCCATGGGGAGTGTATCACTGACTTGTCTTTTGACATCACTGGCCGGCTTCTGGCCTCCTGTGGGGACCGGGCAGTACGGCTTTTCCACAACACCCCTGGCCACCGGGCAGTGGTGGAAGAAATGCAGGGCCTCCTGAAGCGGGCCTCCAATGAGAGCACCCGCCAGAGGCTGCAACAGCAACTGACCCAGGCCCAGGAGGCCCTGAAGAGCCTGGGTGCCTTGAAGAAATGACTCTGGGAGAATGTGGCAGGAAGGATCTGGCCTTCTGCTGCCACTACTGCTGCCACTTTTCTTCCTAGGTACTCCCCAGCTGGAAACCTTTTGAAAGGGGTATCTGGATTTTTTTTTATGGTGGCCCCCTCCTTTTTCCCATTGAAACTGTTCTTGCCTACTTAGATCTTTCTTCTTGCTGGTTTTGACTCCTTTACTTACTTGACCTCTCAGGCTAATGACCAAGGTGCTTCTCTTTTTTTCCTGGGCCCAAGGGGTGGAATCTGTCTTCATCAGGCACTGAGGAGAGTGGTAAATAGAAGAAAGAGAGAACATGGTCTTTGACCCTGTGACAACACACCCTGACATCCAAAGGAGTTTGTAATTGTGGAGGCAAAACCTAAAGAATGCCCGAGTACTAACCAGTAGTGTTGCAGGGGTGAGACTGGGATATCTTCCAATTACAGAACTGTGGTATGTTATGGGTCAGGTAAAGGCTAGTCTTAATCCAGGCAAAGCTTCTAACTCCATCAAAAAGTAATTAAGGGATTTCATTCTGTGCCTCAGTTTTCTTATTTGTAAAATGAATAATCTCGACCTCCTTACAAAGACACTGTGAGGACGTGAGAGTATAAATTCCCTAGATTTGGAACAAAAGAGTAGTAATATGTTAACTGTTGTCCAATATCATTTCTTAACTAGGTAAAAGTGGGTCTGAAACACTGTAGTTTGAAACCAAATTAGAAAAAAGAAACATATTTCTTGGGAAGGCGAAGTTTCTGGGATCATACATTTCGTATCTGGTTCTGCTTTGTGTAGAGGAATCAGAATCCCAAAATGGAGTCCTCTCTTTCAGGAGATTATATCCTGTTGGAGGAGACCCCTTTTCAGTTCATCAAACATTTGAGTGCCTACTCTGCCCAGCACAGCAGTAAGCACCGGAGATAAGACATGATCTCTGCCATCAAAGATGGCTGGTGGGAGAGAGGTACACGTGTCTATTAAGTGCTTTTTGTTAGTTTATTCATAGCTGTAGAATGCTGTTGTAAAAGTCAAGGCAAGAGAGAGGATTGAACCAGGACAGAGACAGTGGATATGAAGTCGAAGGGATAGATTTGATAAGAGACGATGTATTTAAAAGATCGAATTTTTGGATTTGAGGGTGGCCTGGATGTGGGAGATACAGGAAATGAATCTAAGAAGACTTGCATCTAGGCAAAATTTATTCATTCAAAGTCAGGTTCTTATTCCATCTCCCTAAAACTAGGACTCCCCTTACTTGCCCCCAGCTCACGTAAATGTTTGAATAAGCCACAGCCTTGGAGTTATTCATAATCACTCCCTTTCATTACTTCCTCCACCCCACTACCACTACTGCCATCCACTCCACCAAAAATTCTTTGGGTTATACTTCAGAATATATCTTATTCTGAATTTGCTACTTGTCTCCTTATTTTCTGTTACCATCCTGGTCCTAGCCACTGTCACCTACTGGGCTATAATGTAGCTTCCTCATTGGTCTCCCTGCTTCTCTTTCCTATTAAATCACTTTTCTACATAGCAGAGTGCTCTTTTGAAAATGTAAACCAGATTACATTGTTCCCCAGTTAAAACCCCCGAAGGCTTTCCATTGCACTTGGGATAAAATCCAAAATTCTCTCCATGGCCCACAAAGTCCTATGTAATCTGGCTTCTTCCTTCCTTAGTGATCTTGTTACCACTCTTGTAACCCCAGCCTTGCTGTTCTTTGACCAAGCCATGTTATTTCCAGCCTCAAGGGGAACTTGGACTATGCTGTTTCTTCTTGTTGGAAGCATTTTTCGTTTCTGATGGCTGACTTGACGTGCTTATCGTAATTCACGTCTCAATTTCAGTTACACTTCAGAGAGACCCTCCCTAACAACCCAATCTGAAGTAGCCCTTTTCACCAATCATCACATCCATCCTATTAGCTTAGTTTATTTATTTTCTATTACTTAAAGCTATCTGAACTTGTTTGGATATTTGTTTGCTTTAGAGGTTTCAGTTTAAATGTTATGATGTCAAGTGGAGAATGTAAATGCATGAATGGGCCAGTATTCTGGATGTAAGACAGCAGGGAACGTGGCGACTGCAGTGATCTCTAGAGGGCATGTGTCCTGCATAAAGAGCAGGAGTGGCTCCTACTTACTCAGGAATCCAGCAGAAGTTGCCTATTCTAGAGAAGCTAGAAGTTGGCAGTTTATTATAAAAAGAAAAAATAAAGCACTGTATATGCCAAACAAAACACTAATGTGGGCTGGATGCAGCGTACCAGTCTCTTATTGGCAGCTTCTTGATTGTTCATTAGCCCATTGGAATGTGAGCTCCACAAAGGCAGAATCTTTGTTGATCTTATTTGTTCTGTATCCCAAGCACAGTACCTGGGACAGAATGAGCCCTCGATAAATGAACTCAGACCAGGGGCAGTTGACAGAAATTTCAGTACCCTCTGTGTGTATCCTCCCACTCCCGATTTCCACTGTGGTTTTATGTGATTGATAATGTTATGCACATGGTTCCTGGCAAATATTTGCTTTCCGATTGCCAGAAGAATGAGACTAAAACATTTTTTCGTATATTTGCTTGGCTCTGGCTTTACTTTCATTGTATATCCAGGAGAGGAAGTGACCATAGAATGTTGAGTTACTGAAGTCAGAAGTCTTTCCAGTTTCAGCTGAATCACTTACTGACTTGAGACCTTGAGCAGATAGATTATTTGACCTCTCTGAGTTTGTTTCTTCATCTGTAAAATGGGAATAAATCCTGGCTTGTGTTTCTAATGGAGTGAAACCACTATAAAAAAAAAATATTACAGAGACTTCCTGAGGACAGAAAGCTCTCACTAAAAATGAAGCTGCTTCTCTTGTAAGCCTGGAGAAGGTATCTGGATATTAACATAGAGGCTGCTATGTGTTTTTTTGGATCAAACATCCTTGTGTGTAAAGGCAGCATTAACATTTTAATATTACTATTTCAACTTCTGTGGGTTTGAAATTTTTCAAAATAAAAAGTTGGGGAAATATTAAAAATGGTATATAGCCTATTTTAATCAGTTGTGAAAAATATAAAAAAAATATTTAAACCACAAAAGTATACATTTGAAGGCCTATCATAACCTTGGTAAGTTTTCATCAAGGTAATAATACTCATATTTAAAAGATTGTTCTGTAATTGGAGATTATAGGAGTTAAGTAGAAAGCCCATACTATTGTGATGAGTTATCAGCAGTAGTAGATTATTTCATATAGCATTAGATGGACCCAACACTGTCCCAAGTTGGTCCCATATCTAGAAACTTAATAATTTGAGGATTCATGTACTTTACAAAATTCCAGAAATATGGGTCTTCCTGGTGAGCACAACTTGGTTTCAGCCCAAAGTTCTTTAGACTGAGGCTCACTGATGGGCACAGGTTGGCATCGAAGCAGCAGCCACAACAACTGAAAGCATGATTTATATACACAAAATTGTGAATGTATTCTGAGATTGTGAATATATTTCCAAGTCTTCATTTCTTTAAACTTCCAACTTCCAGAGTTCAGCGCAGTTGGAGAATGAGTATGGTTTCCATTTGCTTTCTATTCAGTATACATACCCAGTTTGAGCCCATTTGCATTTTCTTAATCATATTAATACTGGTTAACATTGAGTGCTAAGCCTTCAATCCCTACCAACTTTGCTACTGTTTTTGCCTTAACCATGCTCCCAGTAACCACATCTTAGTTTTTATTGGTGAACTACCACTTCCCTGACTCTTGATCCATATGATTTATAGGGTATAGACCCAGATGCTCCATAGTGGGTGTAATCAGAAGATCCCTGGACTTTGCCAGAACTTTAGAAAAGTTAAAATATCTTTCATTTTCTGTTGGAATTGTTTAGTAAGTAGGATTGTAGGCTTGTTACTATGTGTAGTGTTTCCTGAGAATGAAGGTAACAGGAAAGCAGGATGGAAGATGTAGAGAGGTCATGTGCTGAGGATGGCCATGTGCTGAGGCTTTAGACTAGTGGATCCAGACACCACTGGACTTTTCAGTTATAAAAGCCAATAAGTTCCAGTTTATGATTAAGTCAATTCAAGTTGGGATGCTCTGACTTGCAACTGAAAAAGCCTTAACATCAGTATTATTAGAGAGTCCAAGTAAATTGCCCAAGGCACATAACCAATAATGTTGTGCCCAGGTATTTAAATTTAGGTCTCTCTGGTACTAAGGTACATACCTTTAACTACCAGGCCCATCTCCAACATTTATAAAGCCAAAGGCAAGAATACAAATGGAGGCCCACATGCCATGCCTTAATATTTAAAAGTTATCAATTCAACTGAGCTCAAATATGCTCTAGCCTAGCCTATCTTGATAGATAAAACATCCTGGAAGGCCAAGTTTGAACTTAGAGTTCTCAGACTCAGATCTGTGCCCCAATGTGTCAAAGCAGGCCATCCCATGTTTAAGGCCTGTTCCTCTTCCCATCTGGTTCTTTCCCACATTGCAAGGTATACCCTAGCCCCCACCTTTAAGTGCCATCATGTCCCTAAGAACCACCATTTCTTGGCTACCCACTTGGGCCTTTGGGTGTGTGTACCATGAAAGCACTGCCTTTGTGAGGGTAGACCCAGAAGATAAGTTCACATAGGTCCTGGAAGCAGGCTTGGGTCTGTTTTGGCAGGGGTTCCAGGGTTCTGGGTACCTGGACTGTGGTGTAGTGGGTGAAGTGGAGACACAAGCTCTGAGTGGTCACATATCCCTGGTCCTGCAAGTTCTATGCCTCATGGGGAGGACATGGCAGGAGGAGGGCTAGGACGAGTTCCTCCAAAAGGAGTCCTCTCGCCCATGTCTAACACTTAACCTCTGTGTTAACCACACTTCATTTTTTCCCTGAAGTTCCAAATTTACTATTAAGTTTTCTTTAACACATCAGAAGTGAATATACAGTGAGTATTTTATTATGAGTTCTTGGAGGTTCAGCCAGGTATATCTCAAGAGTTCTAAAAGTTCTGGAGATGTGGAAGTAGGCTTGTATAGTTTTTCAAGCCAGTATCTATGGCCTGATTACTAGCTTTCCATTCTTACCTTTAAGTTCTTCCAAGTATCCCACACACCAGTTGCAGCCAGGATACCAATGTAGAAACCAGTCACACATTGATCATTCCTTCATCACCTCCCAGGATCAGACAGGTTAGGAAGGAAGCCATGGAGAGCTGAGCACACCAGCTTCCTTCTAACAAACTGATAGAGCATTTCCTCCTGTTCTCATTGTAGATGCTCTCACTAGAGCAAGCGAATTCAGCTTTTTCACACTTAAGCATTTCAAGCATGGCTTGTGAATGATGCTAGCTAATTGGGTAGGGGATTTTTGTTTTTATTTAAAAATTTAAGTTAAACTTCTTATTGAATATCCTGTTTTATCCTCTCATCCTCTCCTTTACTTTTTTTTCCCTCCCTTAATGGCACCTTTCTGCCACAGCTAAAAGATTTGATAATGGCAAACATTCGTGGAGTACTCATTATAGTCCAGACACCATTCTCAGTGCTGTGGTGATGACAACTCATATCCTCCCAGCAGTTCTTTGAGATATGAACTATTATAACTTCCATATAACCAATGGGGACCCTACAGCATTGCCCAGGTCACTTAGGAGGTACATGGCCGAGCTGAGATTCAATCCTACAGAATCTGGGTCCAGAGCTCAGGTTCCCAACTGTTCTCAAGCTTTAGCAGGTATCACATTCACCTGGGGCCTGGGCATAACTACAAAGGCCCAGGTCCTATCCTGCTTCAATAGGCATAATCTTCTGTGTCCTTTATTATGTGGTACCAAAGTTTGGGAACCACTGCGCTGTGCTCTTCTGCCTTGATTTTGAATATTTTTCAGATGCTACTGCCCTTCTTGAGAGTGTGTTCCTATCCCAACAAGTGTTTCTTGGCTTGTGCTTAGTGGAGGAGAAACTGCAAGGGAGCCATCCAGGGACCCTCTAGGGGGCTGTCCCACTCCCTGCTTGGCGCTGGAAACTCCCCAGCTCTTGTCCCTGGTCACACGGCCATCACTTCAGCTGTCTAAGGAGTCTCTTTGGAAACTGCCTTTCCTCCATTATCTCAGACTAAATGGCTTTTCAGAGCTTTCATAAGCCTGCACATTCCTTCATCTCTACTCCACATTGCATTGTCATTTATCTATGCTGTGATTGTCTAGAGGGCAGGTGACATGTATGATTAATTTTAGTATCCTTACAGCCTAGCTTAGGGCCAGACAGTCGAATAAAAGAACTTCCACCTCTCTGGAACCTTACCCAGTTGCCCTGGGCCTCGCAGTGACTGAGTGCCCCGTTGGATGCTCATTCGAGACACCTCCCTTCCGAAGAGCCCATTTCCAATACCTAACTCAGGGATACTGCAGCCTTTAACCAACACATGATTTGGGCTACATCCTTTAAACTCTCAGAACCTGCGGGTCAGGAACAGACTTGGCTTGTAGGCTTTTAAACTGCACAGTACATGGAATAATATATGGAGACACTAAGATGGCATTCTCATCCTGACAATGGGCTGTTGTTACATTCCAGGGACTCTTCCCTTCCTCCTCACCTTCATTCTGACTACTTTCCCAAGGGCAGTTCACCTTCCCACTGCCTGCGCCCAGCCCCTCAGGAGCATCAGGGGAAACCAGTTCCTTTGTTTGCTGATCTTCCTGTGATATTGAAGTCCTGGATAGTGTTTTGTGTATGGACATGTTTTCATAATTATAACTACTCCAACCAGTCAAGTTATGTTTGAGAGACTTATATCTTCGCTTGAAAAATTACCTTAAGTTTTGTTTCTGTTGTCTGTATTTTCTAAAACGAACATGCACTTTTATAAAAATCAGTAAGATCATCGCATGATACATAGAAGAATAATAACCTCATTACACACATTTTCTCACTTGCTTCATAGCAGCTCTTGTGAGGGATCAATTATTATTCCAATATTGCAGATGAAAAAACTGAGGCTTGTGGAGGTTAAGTGGCAAGCAAGATTTCAACCCTGGGACAAGTACAGAGTTCAAGCTCGTTCTTAGTGATACCCTACACAGCCTCTGACCTTGCCATCTAAGGTAAGTTCCTTCAGGACAGGGACTTTATAATCTTAGGAGTTTGTACTGTACCTCTTTCTGTTTCTAGTGCACTCTCACAAGTGAGCACACAGTAGACACTTTATGTTTTTTCATTAATATGATAAATACTTATTGCTCAACAGTAAATGAGCTCACTATGGCTACCCTTTTCTCATCCACCATGCAATTGTGCTGCCAATAGAAATTGCAGTACTTTTTGGGGTCACTGCCTCTTGTCAGTTCACACATTGGAGTATGATTCTCCCAGGAACTAATAGCTCCCAAGTAAAGAGATCATTAAGGCTGCTGAAATAGAAGGTCAAACCTGGGGTTTGGAGGCTACAGCCACCTAAGTACCTTCCAGGACTTCAGCTCACCTCCATCACAACAAGATGATTTGAACTCTCCACTTAGGCAAGAAAAGGCAACAGCTACAAAGAAGTCTCCATGTTTGCCATTATCAAATTATCATGGATACAGTGGGGGTATCTGCAGTTCGTCAGACCCCTATTACCTGCTTGCTCCCGTGGTCTCTCTCAAGACTTTCTGGGATCCCTGGAACCCAGAGCCATTGTCTCCACATATAGTGATTCCTGGGAAACAGCTAATAGGATCAGTGACAAACATCCAGAGGCCATTGTGATGTTGCATGACTCAGCAGCCTGTACCCTGGTGTTCACCAGACAACATCATTACCTTTCCCTGTGTTCAATAAGAGGCCTCCCTTTTCACCTATCAAGTCTTGTAGATCCAGCTAATTTATCAGATCTTAAACAACTGTTAAGTCCTCTGCCTTGGCATTTACGGGTTATATGTTTAGTTGGGGACATAGGCATCACGCAAATCATCGGTATATAACCAGTAGGTTTGACAGCCCAGGTATTGGTTTCAGAAGTTTTGGGAGCCCAAAGGCAGGAAAAACAACAACCAAAACAACAAATCCAAAATGAAAGAGGTGATGATGATGTCTGTGGTGGTTTCTGGTCCTTGAGTGCTTATTTCACCCTAACAGGGTGGCCTCTGCCCTGCATACCTCTAAGTCTTTTGTGATCTGGGCAAATGCGAACTTTTTGATGTGCTGCATCCCACATTTCCCCACCTGTGTTTGTTTATTAATAGTGGCAGGACAGCCAGGCACTTGCCCATTGTGCCAGAGATTGCTGGTGCTCACAAACATCCATGCTTCCCTTTCTCTTGGCTATAAGGCTAGACATTTTCCAGTCTCTGGTGAAGCCATGTGATGAGTCCTGGAATGTGTGCAGGAGTGATCTGTTTAGTCTGGGGCTACCTCTAGAAACCCTCCATGCTTTCTCTTCTCTTTTCTGCTAGCTAGGAGCAGAGAATTCAGTGGAGATTGCCAAGGCTCTAGATGAATAAGCCAGTAGTAGATGGAGAGAACCTAGGTCCCTGAATGACTACGTGGAACAGGTCCTTCCTAAGCCAGCATTGTAATACAACTATGAATAAGACATAAATTTGTGTTGTGTGAAAGCCATGGAATGTAGAGTAGGGGTGGGGGGTTGTTTGTTACAGCAGCTGGCTTATCTTGACTAACACTCTTACTACAGAATCTCTTCACTTAACCCTGTTAATATTGTTATTTATGATAACAAATATATATTTTGGTCTCTCTGTGTGGTTCCTGGCTCACAGCTCCCATAACCCTTGTAATTTCTTAAGTGGTTATGGCAATAGGGGTAACTTTTTGAAAATAATGTTTGATTTTTGTTTTTGGCTCCAGAAATAGTTCCAGAGGTGAAATAAAGGTGAAATGGGTGTGTTTTGTTATCCAAACAAGCCCCTTTTAGCCACACCTGAGTTTTATCTTAATGCCATTTTTGGAAAGCCCCTAGATAACCACTGGAAGGAGGCTGGTTGCCAAGGGAACCAGCCAGTGGTTAGAGGGTTGGAACTTTCAGCTTCACCCTCCTCCACCTCCAGGGAGAGAGGCTGGAGATGAACTTAATCACCAAGGCCAAAGATTTAATTAATAATGCCTATAGAGTGAAGCCACCATAAAAACCCTGAAAGAGTTCCCAGCACTTCTGGGAGGCTGAGCACGTGGAGATGCTAGAAGGGTGGCTGCACTCAGAGAGGGCACAGAGATTTCCCATCTCTTGCACTACGTATCTCTTCCATCTGGCTGTTCTGAGTTGTATCCATTCATAATAAACTGGCAATCTAGTAAGTAAACTGTTTTTCCTGCATAATATAGTCTTCTAACAAATTAATCGAACCTGAGGAGGAAGTCATGAGAACCTCTGATTTACAACCAGTACATGAGAAGCCTGTGAAGTGCGGGTGGGAGAGGCAGCCTTGTGGTACTGAGCCCTTCACCTATGGAATCTGATGTTTACTCCAGGTACGTAGTGTCAGAATTGAATTGAATTGTAGGACACCCAGCTGGTTTCAGAGAATTGGTCAGTATGGGGAAAGCCCGCACATTCAGTGACCAGAATACTAGAGGAAGAAACAAGAGTGTTTTTTCTTAAACAACTCCTGAGTTTGGGGGCACTGGAACTAGTGTGGAAGCCAGCTTTCTGTAAATCTGAAACATGTGTTAACAAAAATTCCAACAGAAATTAAGAGTATTTTATTCATATAAGATTTGCAAACCAGTGAGGTAGCCCTCGGTATGAACCTAAGACATGTTCCAAAATGGAGGGGATAGCCCTCGGTATGAACCTAAGACATGTTCCAAAATGGAGGGCAGGGTTTATAAAGGAAAAAGTTGCAAGGAGCTGATAATCAAAGAGATGGGTTGCTAGGGGAAACAAGACCATCAACTTATATCATTCGTTTTCTGATTGGTGGGGGTAATGATTTTCAATGGTCAGCTGACTCAGTGGTCAAGCAAGTGGGGTTGTGAGGTGAGAAGAACCGGTATTATGTAATTTAGCATTTATCAAGTCCTAGTTTCAGCTCAGGCATGTAGAACCAAAAAAGTTGTCTTGATCACACAGTATTATTTAACAACAATGCAAGGAGTACAATTAGTCAAATAGTACAATCAGCACAAGGCATTTTCAGAGCCAAAAGGGGCAAAGTTATGCTCTGTAAGCAGCTTCAGAGCTCAAGCTGTAAAAAAATCCAAATGTTGGACTGCAAGCTACGATATTAAAGTTCTTATAAGTCTTCACATGGGATCTAAACACCTACTCCATCTCACTTCAATTGTGATGGTGTTATACCTTCTCTTCCAATTCTACAGGCAGCTAGAATAAGGGAAAGACCACAGAACCTGGAGTCAGAAGTCTTGGGTTCTATTCTGGCTTGGCCTCACACAAGTTAAATGCAACCTTGTACAACTCATTTAAACTTTCTGCCCTCAACTTCATCTTGAAAAGTAGAAATTATGATAATGCCTATATTGCTCCTGGGAATAGTGATAAATAGAAGTGAAAGTCAACTAACTGTGAAGTATTAAAAACCTGTTACTTCTCCACACAAAGCCGGCTGCCCATATAGAGAGAAGTAGGGGGCTTGGCCCAGGAGGTCTTATCCAGTCTCTTGGCTGGTACCCTCAGGGAATCAGACCTGCCTCCAGGAATCTCTCCCTTCCCTATGATGTTCAGTACTTGGGCCGAAAAATGCCTTCAGGATTTTTTTCTCCACTGAAGCCTGTACTGAGATAACATGCCCTTCTTAATACCTAGTCTGGGAACTTGGGGGTGCCAGGATCCTCCTACTTTGTTCTCAGGGGTGCCCCACAGTTCTATTAACTTCTCAGCCCCTTCCTGCATTTCACTTTCTGGGGACTCGCACTCTACACACACTCATCCCCCTTTCCCCCCAAATATATTATGAAAATCTGTTTCTAACCAATAGAATCTGCCAAAGAGGATGGGATGTCACTGGTGATTACATAATATGACTCCTTGCTAGCAGACTCAGTTTTCTCCCTTGTGGGCTTATTGTGAGAGGTCTTATGAAGGCGCCATGTGGGCAGCCTTTAGGAATAGATGGCTGAGGCCTTTAGTCTTACAAATGCAAGGAGTTAATTCTTCTCACAACCAGAATGAGCCTGGAAATGGGTCCCTCGCCAATTGAGCCTGTAGGTAAGAACTGAGCCCTGGCCAACGCATCAGTTTTAGCTTTGCACAGGACCCAGGTAAGCCAGACCTAGATTCTTGACCCACAGAAACTGATGTAATAGATAAGTGTTATTTGGGCTGCTAAGTTTGTAGCAGTTTATTATGCAGCATAGAAAACTAATACCCCTGTCCTCTGAAATGTTGCCCAAATGTTCCCTCTGTCTTGTTTACTCCTCAAGAGCAAGGTCTTATATTTATTGGGATTCCCTTACCCCAGTGCCTGTCACAGAGACTTGATCATGGTCCTTATGGTCTTTATGATTTTAGAACAGTCTAAAATCATAATGTGAGTAGAATAGGGAAAAATTAATTCTATTTTTTAAAATTGGTCTTGCTTGAATCTGTTATAGGACTTTGCATAGTTCTTTATACCTAAGGGGCACTTAATAAATAAGAAACAGAGGTTAAGGGATTTCCCTAAGTGGCAGAATTAGGATTTGAACTTGGCTCCAGTACATGTGCTCTTAATCCACTCTGTTATATAGATTTCCAGCTGTGACTATACTCAGAATACAGTCCAAAATTTGGTTACCTGCCATCAGCAAGGTACGGCCCTGTGCCCAGTACAGTACCTGG